CTAACTCACTAATGTCCTTGACCTCTGTTATACATATATGCTTGCTTATACAAATACAAGTCACACAGGTCACAATACACAATAGTAATAATCTTTAAAAATACTACTGCAAATGTTTGGATTTGTTTGTTTTGGTTTGATCTGGCTACTGTAATTTTTGCTATGGAAATAATCTCATCTATGGTAAACAAAGTAATACAAGTTTATTTTTAGTTTATTTGGCTTAAGTAATTTTTAAATTCCTATTATAAAATCAGAGAATTGCTACTAGCTACAGGTTTTTTGTTTTGTTTTGTTTTGTCTGTTTGTTTTTCAAGATAGGGTTTCTCTGTGTAGCCCTGGCTATCCTGGGGCTGTCCTGACTAGACAGTTTTAAGAAATCTATTATATCCTCATAAATAAGTCTATGAAGATAGAACAAGTAGCACAAGGACAGAAATGAAAACCCATGTGAATGATGACTTAAGCTGGAACTTGGCAATAAATTACTCAGCTCTTCAATACGATAAACTACTCTCTCAAGATATTATTCTACTGAGACGGAGTCTTGCTTTGTATACCAGGCTGACCTCCAACTTGCAATCCTGCTCAGCCTCCAGAATTCTGGTATTACAGACATGCACCACCATGCTCAGTTTAAAGATACTTTTTAAACATCAAAATCCCTTAGATTTTTTGGCTTCCAAGAAAAGAAGAAAGAATATAAATTTCAGGAAAGTAACTTAGGGCAGAATCCTAAATCTATAACTGTGGTCACCAGCATAGGCTACCTCTCTGCCCCGCCCCCTCTCCTGTTTTGTCCTAAGATGGGGGTCTCATTATATTGCCCAGGTTGGCCTCTAACTTCTAAGCTCAAGCAGTTTTTAGGTGAAGCTAGAGTAAAGACGTTTCTTGACCTATCAATAACAAACCTCATGTAACTTAAGAAATATTCTGTGGGCCATTCTTAACTGTTCTAGAGAAAAAGGAAAGGGCAGAGGGCACAGAGGCACCAATTCCTGTCATCCTACTATTTTCTGCCTTTAGAGAAGAAAAACATTGTGATCCACAGTGGATTCACAAAGCCAAATAGAGACCATGAAATATTATTCAGTCTCAAAAGAAATTCTGACACATCAAAGTGTGTTAAGCGCCGGGCATTGGTGGCACACACTTTTAATCCCAGCACTGGGGAGGCAGAGGCAGGCGGATCTCTGTGAGTTTGAAACCACCCTGGTCTACAGAGCAGGTCCCAGGACAGGCTTCAAAACAACACAGAGAAATCAAGAAAAATAAGACAAATAAAAAAGAAGTGTGTTAAGCAAAGTTATAGCATGGATAAACTAAATGAATTAAGTCAGTCACAGAGAGAACCTATGGCTTGGCAAATACACACATTATCTAGAGGAGTCAGTTTCAGAGACAGAAGACAGAAGTCGCTCACCTGGAGCTAGAAGGGCAGAATGAGCTTACTACTTCATGGGTATGTACAGCTTTTCAGCTTTACAAAACTGAGGAGTTATAGCAATGGATGGTTACAAAACAATATGGACATATTTAATTTCACTAAACTGTACTTTTAAAGAGATCAGGATAGATTTTATTTCATAATAAAACAGTTAAAAGAAGTTGCCATTTCCAATTTTTAAAAGCTAATTAATAAACAGATTCATGTCATAAATCATGATGGCACAGAGAAACCCCATCTCACAAAAAAAATAAAAATAAATCATGATGGGCACCAGACATAAATGTGGCTGGCAATCAAATACATTTAGATGTTAGTGTTCTTAGTCATAAAGTGAAAAAAGAAGAGAACTCAATCCTGGCTGTAAGTCCTGGAGTCGTGAAGAGCTAGCACTGACGGGTTGGGAGGCATTAAATAAAAACTACCACACAACCCTGTAGCATCTACCCATGCTCTAGAGAGAGGCTGGTTTGATACCCGAGGTAACATGTAATCTGGGATATCACTGGACCTAAACACACATTTACTGAACTCAAGGACATAAGCACTTAATCACACCGCGATCATAACCACAGTGAAAACGTGTCTGCTGCTAAGTCCATTCCAGAGGCTCAGCTCAGCTTTGTGGTGAAGACACAGAAGATAGACGTGACTGACGAAATGAAGACTATTCTTTCTTGCTTTAGGTACCATCTGAGACATTACCCTATGCTAGTATTTGGTTTCAACAGTCCACACTCAGCTTAATCTATCCTGTATCTAAGCTTTTTCTACATAGGAATATTTTCTGCTGTGATACTGTCTTAGTTAGGGTTTTATTGCTGTGAAGAGACAACTCTTACAAAGGAAAACATTTAACTGGGGCTGGCTTACAGTTCAGAGGCTTAGTCCATTATCATCATGGCAGGAAGAATGGTGGCATGCAGGCAGACATGGTGCTGGGGAGAGGTAGCTGAGAGTTCTACATCTGGATCCACATGCAGTAAGAAGAGAAAGTGAGTCACACTAGGCCTGACTTGAGCTCAATGACGCACTTCCTCCAACAAGGCCACACCTCCAATCATGCCAATCCCTGAGACTCTATGGGGGCCATGTTCATCTAGACCACCACAGCTTTGTAATATATGTTGGCAAGCAGCCTCACATCCATCCCTAAGACTCTCTTCCCTGAAGCATCAGGTCTCAAATCTGCATTTCTAACCCATCAGCAGTGCTCCCATCAGTCTCCAGGTGTAACAGTAGCAAAAGCACAGGTTCCTACTTGTCAAAGTTCCCAAAGCATTGGTGGAAAAAGGTTTTGTGGGCTCTGGTTTATAGACTTTTTTTTTCCTTGTTGCTCCTTCAACACTTCATTTTATGACAAATTCCTAGAATTACATATTCCCTTTAGATCACAGCATCTGAAGTTGTTCTCTGGCTATATGTCAACTTATACTTGTAGAGATTAATTTTTGTCATCTTGACACAAACCTAGACACACCTGGGAAAAGGAAATCTCAATTGAGAATTATCTTTATCAGACTGGCCTGTGTCTATAAGGCATTTTCTTAACTGCCAAATGATACAAGAAAGTCCACCACAAGCAATGCTATCTCCAGGCAGATGTGTAAGGAAGATGCCTCAAAGGCCAGAGAAGGCAAACCAATAAGCCACGCTCATCCAAGCTTTCTTTGTCAAGGTCCTGCCTTGTGGTCAGACTTTCCTTCGGGCTGCCAGCTCACTCCCAAATAATGACATGGAGACTTCTTACTAATTAAGCTTGCTTGCTCCTAACTAGCTCTTACAACTTGAATCAATTCATTTCTATTTATCTACGCCCTGCGACATGGCTTATGGCTGTTACCTTCCTCTTGCACCTTCTGCTTCTTCAGAGTCTCCCTGACATCCCTGGCGGATGATCTCCTCTTCCTCTCTCTGCCCGGAGGTCCAGCCTATCCCTCCTGCCTAGCTGTTGACCATTTATCTTTGTCTTACACCAATACATCTTCACAGTATGCAAATATCCCACATCCCCCTCTTCTGTCTAAATGAAAAGGGAAGGTTTAACTCTAACACAATAAAACTATATAAAATAAGAACAATTATAAAGTAAGAAACACATTCACAGCCAGTCTGTTAGTACTGGCAAATAAAAACAAACAAACAAAAAAAAAAAAAAAACACTCCATTATCTATCCAGAGTCCAAAAGTTTTGTAACCTGAACCATTTTATACCGTAAGTTGTATTACCATCCTAAAAATATCTTTTTAGACCTAAAAACATCTTCTTAGATAAACAACTTAAGCTTCTATGTTTCTCAGTCTTATACACTTCACATCTCTTATGTAAGGTTTCTCTTCTGAATTTGGTACCAAGAAAAAATGTAACTACAACTACCTAATCTCTAACCCCATCAAAAACCCAAGAGGATACACTATTAGCTGAGTAAAAAGAGTAATAAAAAGTGTAGAGCAAACAACTTCCAAAACTATAGAAATGACAGAGACAACTGCCTGCCTGGTAGTCACCTCAGGGTTCCTCTGTAATGTGGGGCATCCAGCTTTGGTCTATAGACCTAGACTATCTGCCAGACTTTTCTGTGAAGCAGGAATTTTGAAGGACTGTCCCTACCGTGTGTTGGCAAAGTTTAGCAGTCACCTTCCTTTGTGTCCTGCTTGACCAATTCTGACAGCATTCTGTCAGCAGCTGAGGCAAGGGCAGTTTCTTGCCCAGTGGCCAACTCTGACACAATGAAAGCAAACTCCATCTGAGGTTTTTTGGTGCCCATCATCCTTTTTTAAAGTAAACTGGGACTGCCAGGAGCAGATGTGTCTCACTGTCATGAAAAGCTTTAGGTTATTAAAACATCTTGAATGTCATATTTTATAGGTCTCTGAAGTATTTGGGGACCATATATCTAAAATATATTTGTTTGGCCTAATATACCCAATATGGTCACAAATTTGATTGTTAGATGACTAATTACTAACCTGTATATTCTAATTATCTTAAATAGTTTGTAACAGTAACTTTCAAGGGCTAGAAATTTATATTACATTGTAAATGAGCTGCACAGGTACAATACCTTAAACAAAAATAGCCTTAAATTTATACCAATATACAAAATATCTTAAACAAGAATAGAAACACATACGAGAGAGAGAGAGAGAGACAGGCAGAGAGAGAGAGACAGACAGACAGAGAGAGACAGACAGAGAGAGAGATAGACAGAGAGAGAGAGAGACAGACAGAGAGAGACAGAGAAACATAGTCTAGCAAGGGAAAAATAATACACAAGATAAATAAGTAAATGAAATATTGGAAAAGGGTGAAATTTTAGTTGTACTAAGATGATTTCTGGAAAAGACCCACAGCAACAAGGGATCAATCGCACTCACCGCTACAGGAATACCATTCCAACAGAGGGTAAAGCATGTGTAAAGGCCCTAAGGAAGGAGCCTCTAAGCAGGCTAGATACAGCAGACGTCTTCTGTGGTGACAGCAGTTAAAGGTAAACGACAGAGAGAGAAGGGAGGCAGATTCTAAACAGAGGAGCAGCATGACGTAACTCACCTATCACAGAAGTCCTGCTGTGTCAGCAATAGACAGTACTGGACAAGCGCAGAAAACAAGAACCCACCAAAGAAGCTTGAATGGCAGCTGAAACCCAAGTGGTAACAGTGAGGATGTGAGAAAATTCTGATCCTTAGAAATCCAAGAGCTGGCCCCAGAATCTTCCTGGAATTAAAACATGAGAAATTTCTATATAAGGCTAAAGATGGCTGAGTAGGTAAGGATTCTTGCTACCAAACCTAGTAACCTGAGTCAATCAGGGGAATCATATAGAAGGACAAAGCCAACCCCCAAAAAGTATCCCCTGACTTCCAAATGGGTACCATGGAACATATATATACACACAAAAACAAACAAGCCGGACATTGGTGGCGCACGCCTTTAATCCCAGCACTCGGGAGTCAGAGGCAGGCGGATCTCTGTGAGTTCGAGGCCGGGCTGGACCGATAGCCTCCAAAACAATACAGAGAAACCCTGTCTTGTAAAAACCAAAAAAAGAAAAAAAGAATAGCTCACTCCTCAGGCCGGGTGCTTGTGGTGCATGCCTTTAATCCCAGCACTCTGGAGTCAGAGGCAGGCGGATCTCTATGAGTTTGAGGCTAGCCTGGTCTACAAGAGCAAGTTCCAAAGCCACAGAGAAACCATCTCGAAAAACCAAAACAAGATACACAAAATATAAATAAGGATCTGGAGAGATGGCTCAGTGGTTAAAAGCATTTTCTGCTCTTGCAGAGGATCCAAATTTAGTTTCAAAACACATGCTCTGAATGCCAGCACTGCTAGAGGCAGAGGCAGAGGTAGAGACAGGCAGATCTCTGAGTTCAAGCCTGCCTGTTCTACACAGCAAGTTCCAGGCCAGCCAGCGGAGGCTTTAAAAAAAAAAAGTCATAGCTTGCCTCTCTGTTGTGATAAAACACTAACCAAAACCAAGTTGGGAAAGAAAGTTTATCTCAGCTTACAACATTCAGCTCACACCTCCGTCACTGAGGAAACCAGGCAAGAACCCTGGAGGTGAGGCAAAGGCCATGGGAGAGTTTCATACTGTCTTGCCCTCTATGCCTTGCTCTTTACATTTATTTACTGGTGAGGGGCGCACATGTCATGGCATGCATTGGAAGGTCAGGACAAACTGTTGACAACCAGTTTTTTTCTACCATCTGGGTCCTGGAAACAGAACTCAGATCATCATGTTTAGTGGCAAGCACCTTTACCTACGAAACCATCTCTCTATGCCTCAGCTAGAATTTTTTATGCAACAAAGTACTACACCAAAGACAGACAGCTAGACATTCTCACATGAATAATTAATCAAAATAAATGTCCTCTGACCTACCTACAGGCCAGTCTTACACATTTTCTCAGATGAGTTTCCTTCTTCCAGATGACCCACGTTTATGTCAAGTTGACAAAAAAATTAACCAGCACAGAAAACAAGTTATTTCCCCCTGAGTCTGAATCCCAAGACCTACATAATATAGAAAGAGAGAGCTGACTCCCAAGGGCTGTTTTCTAACGTAGCAGGTGTGCCACAGCATCTGCGCACTCACCTGCACACACATACAAATAAACAAATACCCAGGCTTGGTGGTGCATGCCTATAAAATCCCAGCAAAGGCAGAGACAGGCGGATCTCTGTGAGATCCAGCTTGGTCTACAGAGCAAGTTCCAGGATGGCCAGGGCTGTTATACAGAGAAACCCTGTCTCAAACAAAATAAAAATCAAAATAAATAAATGTAATTCTAAAGTTACATTAAAAGCATTTAAGTTTTTGCCGGGCATTGGTGGCGCACACCTTTAATCCCAGCACTCGGGAGGCAGAGGCAGGTGGATCTCTTTGAGTTTGAGGCCAGCCTGGTCTACAGAGCAAGTTCCAGGACAGCCTCCAAAACAATACAGAGAAGTCCTGTCTCAAAAAACCGAAAAAAAAAAGCACTTAAGTTTTTAATTAAAGCAAAATTAAATTTCTAGCAAAATATTAACACTATAAACACTCTACCTGAAAAACCAAATTGCCAAGATAATGCTTACATTTAAAATAAGTACTTTGAAAGTACAAACAGCAAAATGGTATACTGTTAATAAAGAGCACGTCATCTCTTCTAAAACTTGCAACCCTGCCAGGATTCTCCAGCAACAGACAGGAATTACATTTCTTGGCCCTTTTCCTTCCATTCTACTCTAATCAACTTCATTTTAAAAATTAATAAAAATATCCTATTATTCCAGAAAGGAAAATGCTTAAAAAACACACAGAACATTAATCAAAACAACAAATGACTAATACATAAGCACCCCATACAACTCTCCCTCAGCAATGAGAGAGAAGTAGGGAGTTTTACAGATAACGAAGTTTAAAAGCTGGGGCCTACTCATCATGCAGTGTAATCTTACAGTGCTGCTATGTCCACAGCCCCATGCTAACACTTTACCCAGGCAGTCACTGTGGACCCTCCCACAGCTCTGGGTCTAACTGCCAAGGGAAGGCTCTAGTTGCTGCTACTTTCAAAGAGGAAGAACTGGTAGGGACCTCACAAAAATTAATAATTACATTAACGAGGAGGCAGCTCAAAAGCTCAAAGCTTAGTAAGTTATAAGAATTGTCACATTATTCCCTGGCACTGTGGACTTCTCAGGGAAACACAACTTACTCAACTGTGCGTTTGTAAACCTCACAGACCAGGGCTTCATCGGAGCTCCTTGGCATTTGTCACATGGACTTCTGTATTAGATCAAGGTGCTTAACGAATCTCCAATGTCTAGTCCTCGTGTGCCCCAGCCCAGCTGTAGAGGCGCAGGAGTCATTAAAGAAGAGGACCCTGTGAATTGCTCAGACGGCATCCACCTCCAATGTACTGGGATCACACACACACACACGCATGCACGCATGCACGCACACACACACACTCGTGTGAACACTGCATAGCACGACTTGTCAGGCTGCCCTGTTGTTTACAGTCTTTCACAGCACAAAGAACCAGACTAACCCTAAGCAGTTGCTGGTGGTGGTTAATCTCAACTGTCAACTTGGTAAGTCCTCAATCAACCGAAAAAACAAGCTTCTGAGCTTACCCATGAGGGATTATCTTGATTAGGTTAATTGAGGTGGGAGAACCTACCCACCGAGGGTAACAACATCCCCTCGGGTGAACTGTATACAAGGAGGGGGCTGAGCATCAGCATTCACCAGGCTCTGCTTCCTGGCACTGGATGCAATGTGACCAGTTCCCTCAACCACCCACGGCCATGACCTACCCCCCAAGACTGACCAAACCTATAAACCGTGAACCAAAACAAACCACTTTCTCCTTAAACTGCTTTTATCAGGATATTTGGTGACAACAGAAAAAGTACACTGTTGAGATCCACATTTCTTTTGCTCAAAACACTTCTAGAAATTCCATAAATCTCAAGTTTTGACTATAGTTGAGACTTTGTCACAAATTCAACTCTCTAGCATCCCTTTGTCTACCTTCATGCATTTAAACAAACAAACTTGCTAGAACACAAAATAAATGTCAGAAAGACAGCTATGGGAGAAAAAGAACACTTAGAATGAGGACTCTCACAGGAGAAAGCACCAATGCTCCCAGAATTACCTATCCATAACAACCATGGGCTAGGAATGTACACCAGGGGGAAGAATAGAAATACACTAGCAAGGATTGCTGTAGTTTGGATCTTTTAACATATGTATTACTTTTAATGATGTGTAGGTGTGTCTGCATGTGGACGTGTGGGTTTGAATGCAGGTCCCACAGAGGTTAAGAGGGGTTGGATGCCCTGAAGCTGGGGTTACAGACAGCACACGTGGGTCCTGTGAAAGAGCAGCAAATGCTCTTAACTACCGAGCCCGAGCCATCCTCCAAGACCTGAAGTGCACCTCCACAAAGGCCCATGGAGTTGGAAGATTTGGCCCCTAGTCTTTGGCATTTCTGGAAGTAATGTAACTTTAAGAGATGGAGCATAATCTAAAGAAGTTAGGCCATAGAGGTGGGCTCTCAAAAACGACTGTGGGACCCAAGTCTCTGTCTCTGCTTCCCAGCTACTATGATGCAAACCACTTCTTCTGCCATAGCTGTCCCTAAATCACAAAGTCAGGTGATCACAGACCAAAGCAACATGCCAAAGTAAAGTTCTTCTCTTTAGATGTTGATTATGTCGGGGCTGGAGAGATGGCTCAGTGGTTAAGAACACTAGTTGGAGCCGGGCATCAGTGGCACACGCCTTTAATCCCAGCAGAGGCAGGTGGATATCTGTGAGTTTGAGGCCATCCTGGTCTACAGAGCGAGTTCCAGGACAGCCTCCAAAACAATACAGAGAAACCCTGTCTTGAAAAAACAAACAAACAAACAAAAAAAAGAACACTAGTTGGTCTTCTAGAGGTCCCTAGTTCAATTCCCAGCGACCACATGATGGCTCACAACCATCTGTAATGACATCTGGTGCTCCCTTCTGGCCTGCAGAGATACATGCAGTCAGAACCTGTATACATAAGAAATAAATCTTTAACAACAACAAAAAAATAAGTTGATTATGTCAGGTATTTCTTAGTGACAGAAAGCTAGCAAACACAGGGTTTTGAGACTGGGTCTCATGTATTTGAAGTTAGCCTGAAACTCAGTAAGCAGCCAAAACTGACTTTGGACTTCTGGTCCCCCTTGCCTCCGTCTCCCAAGCTCTGGTACTGTAAGTGTACGCCACACGCTCCATTTATGTGCTCTAGGTATCAGACTCAGGGTTTTAGCCATGCTAGGCAAGAACTCTATCAATAAGTAATGTCCCCAGCAAGCCCCCCAAAAAACAAACCTTTTAGGAAAGCACTTCATTTTTGCTTTTTAACTTAACATTTATATAATCTGATCATGGTTTCTTCTCCCCACTTCCCAACCCTCCTGCCCCCACCCCTCAAAACCCATAAACACAAAATCAGAAGCCATGCTCTACAAGCAAAAGACCAGTAAGACAAAATGCCCAAGCAGAGCTGTATGTGAGAAAGTCTACCAATAATATCATTGAGTTCATTTTGTTTGGGCCATCTACCGCTGGGCATGGGGCCTACCTTTAGTGTGCTTAATATACCCATGAGACTCCCTTGGATGTCAGCTGGAGATGGGTTATTGATTTGTGATGGGGGCACATGTCCACTCCTCCCCCAGCACTGGGA